TGTATCAGAGTATCATCACATCGCTTGGGGCCGCTTGCAAACAAAGGAGCAGTTGTCCTCAGATTGACAATATGTATGAAGCAAAAAGCTATAATACTGCATAAGGATTGTTGGGAATATTTTCATTGACCTGTCCAAGTGGTTAAAATTGTCAAATAATAAACCCATGTGAAACACTGCTAAAGGCTTTAGTATAGAAATGTGTTTCGGTGTGTATTAAAGAAGTTTTGCCACATAAATCAACCTCGGTGTTACAGCTCCACTGAAAGTTGAGACTGGTGTTCTTCTGTTGAACCTTTACTCTGACAACTTCACACCCTGACAACTTCACACCCTGACAACTTCATGCCCTGACAACTTCACACCCTGACTTCACACACTTCACACCCTGACAACTTCACACTCTGACAACTTCATGCCCTGACAACTTCACACTCTGACAACTTCACACCCTGACTTCACACACTTCACACCCTGACAACTTCACACTCTGACAACTTCATGCCCTGACAACTTCACACTCTGACAACTTCACACACTTCACACCCTGACAAATTCACACTCTGACAACTTCACACTCTGACAACTCCACACACTTCACACCCTGACAACTTCACACACTTCACACCCTGACAACTTCACACACTTCACACCCTGACAACTTCACACACTTCACACCCTGACAAATTCACACTCTGACAACTCTCACACAACTTCACACACTTCACACCCTGACAACTTCACACACTTCACACCTGACAACTTCACACACTTCACACCCTGACAACTTCACACACTTCACACCCTGACAACTTCACACACTTCACACCCTGACAACTTCACACACTTCACACCCTGACAACTTCACACACTTCACACTCTGACAACTTCACACACTTCACACCCTGACATCTTCACACACTTCACACTCTGACAACTTCACACACTTCACACTCTGACAACTTCTGGTCACACACACACCCTGACAACTCACACACTTCACACCCTGACAACTTCACACACTTCACACCTGACAACTCACACACTTCACACTCTGACAACTTCACACTTCACACTCTGACAACTCCACACACTTCACACCCTGACAACTTCACACACTTCACACCCTGACAACTTCACACACTTCACACCCTGACAACTTCACACACTTCACACCTGACAACTTCACACACTTCACACCTGACAACTTCACACACTTCACACTCTGACAACTTCACACACTTCACACCCTGACAACTTCACACACTTCACACCCTGACATCTTCACACACGTCACACCCTGACAACTTCACACACTTCACACCCTGACAACTTCACACACTTCACACTCTGACAACTTCACACTCTGACAACTTCACACACTGACAACTTCACACTCTGACAACTTCACACCCTGACAACTTCACACACTTCACACCTGACAACTTCACACACTTCACACTCTGACAACTTCACGCTCTGACTTCACACACTGACAACTTCACACACTTCACTCTCTGACAACTTCACACACTGACACCTTCACCCACTTCACACTCTGACAACTTAGCAATAGATGTTTAAGGGATCTTTTTTCAACATCCATAAACTGGCTGTTGAATCTATTTTCTTTTATGAGTCAGTGAATATATCTTATTTTAATTTGTTTCACTTTTGTACAAAATATGTAATTATTTTAAGAATACAATGGATTTCTTTTGATCTATCTCTCAACAATATAACTGCAGTTTGATCTCAAAGTTTGATGGAGTGGATCATGAACATGTCATAGATTGAATGTGATCAATAATGTCAAAAGTAGAAAGTTGTACCTACCCTTTTTTACCATAAACATTCACAATACTTTTAAATAAATATGTATTCTGATGTAATCAGCAGATTTTGTTATCCAAGCAAACATTAGGGTTTTATTTACATATGTATATTGCATCAAGCTGCCAACACCTGTCAACACCTTGTCCAGGTCATCTGCAGGCTGCTCTCATGACCTGAGGCACTTGATTTGTAGCATATTTCAAAGTATAATTTGATAGCTCTATCCATCAAGGTCAGACATGTTTCATGTAAATTTATTAATGAGGCAGTTGATATGAATGTTTTGAAATTCTTAGTGTGAGTTAATCTAGCATTCAGATCAGTACATCAGATTTCTGAATCTCACAAAGGATTATGTTGATCTCGGTGCCGTTGTACAAAGTGATCTTAGTACTAAGGTGACTGTAACTCCAATACCTTAACATAGACTTAAGGTAGTCTTCGCACTAAGGTTGTTTCGTACAACAGCTCCATGGTGTTTATCTTTTGTCAGAGCTGTGTCGTGCAATCAGCAAACTAAAAATTTCATTTGGAAGGGGTTTTAAAAAACCCATCTAAGGCTGCCAGTTTGAAATGAAGCCGAATAGTTTAATAAATCTGACACTTTGATAGCTAAAAAGGCATGTACATGTATCTGTCATCCTGATTTTCATCGATTACTTAAGGTTCACAAATGAGAGTTTGTCATATGTTAATGGAGCCAGGTACATTATCAGAGAGAGGGGTATTGTTTCAGATCAAAGTGAATATGTCAGGTAGGGATGAAATGGTATACTGCATTATTAGTAGAACCGTGGTATTTTGTCTTCGGTTCAGTATACCATAATGCAATCCAAAAAGGTATTTTCGGTTTTCGTACCGTCATTTTATTAACCTTCTTAAACCTTTTCTAAAATGTCTAAAACTGGAATCATTTGTCAAATTCTATGCATTTCTTTGCTAGACAGACGCTATTTTCCTGGAAGTAAGTATACCGAACCGAAATGGACCGAACCAAAGGCCTTGTACCACAATTTATCATCCAAAACTGTGTTCCACAGGAGATATTGCTTGTGTGAGATCATACAATATCGTTTCAACAGTATATTTTGTACAATGCCCTGACAATGCTATGACATCATGAACTTGATAACGTCACAATGCTATGGCATTGCTCCACTGCAATTCTAATGGCAGTACCGTGTTCATTTTTCATTGAAACCTAATGAAGAGTGATTTTTGATGATAAATAGAATCTCACACTCGCTGATAAAAGTAAAAATATCCTCGACAAGTCTCAGATATTTGTAACTTTATCAACTCGTGTTGATATAATTGATATCAGTAGACACTTGAGTGAGATTCTCTCATACCGTGGTGAGAGCGTACCGTTTCACCCCTAATTTCAGGACAGAATTCCCCTGCTATCAGCCACTGAGCTGGACATGTATGTATAGGCAGGATAGCACTGTTGTGCACTTCACTACAACTCTCAGCTGATTACATCTGGTGATTTGTCTTTCTTGATTTATAAGATGATACTATTTTTGTTCTAGTTCTGATGCAGAATGTAGTTATAAGATTGGGGCAAGAGAATAACCTCCCTTAAAATAAATAGAGACAATTTTATGTTTAAATGAACTTATTATACATACAGTAATTTACATGCAGTAGTTCAGCTTCCTCTAAGGGAAATAATGTAAATAATTATTTCTAGATTGTGTGACAGTAATAAAGACAGTATCACTTTAACTTGAGAGTTGAGGAGTTACTAGAATTAGACATTCTATTTTGTATTGTTCTCTAAATGTTTATTAGAGTTTAGAGTAGTGCAATCTTGTTCTATTCCTTTCACCTCCTTGCTGTGTTTTATGACTATTTCAACAAACGGCATTCAGCTCATAACAGCAGGTGTTCCAGATATCAATGTAGGATTTCTGATAAAAATAAGAAAAAGAAGTGTTTAATACAAAACGTAATTCAACAGATAATTCATGGCATTAAAATTTAAGAGCTTAAAATTTTATGCAAATATTTTAAAAAGAAATTTTGCATTGATAAAGTATTTTGTAAATGTGCATTATCATGAGATCAGACATTCTTAATATTTTGACCCTGTAATGCTTCATGATTTAAGGTAAGTATAAAAAACAGTCAGGTCCCAAATACCAAAATTAGACCAGACCAATTTTATTTCTTGCTTTACGGATCCGCTGGTCATATTTTTTTAAGAATAAGAAAAAAAATTAAAATGAATTTTCCCTGCTCAAAAAATAAAATCCTAATGTAAACTTACAAGAACAGTTTTCTTAGATTGGATTTTGTTCCATGTACAGTTCATAAATTGCCAAACGTAAAATACTTTTAGTATTCAGAAGGAATATTACTTTGACTGGTGATTTTATTTTTATCCCCCGCAACGCGTTTTGAGGGGGGTATTAAAATGGACTCTGTCCGTGCGTCCGTCCGTCCGCAAGGTACACATTTGTCTTTTCCGGAGCAGAACTCTAAAACCGTTCAATATTTCTTCACCAAACTTGGCACATACATGGATCTGGTGGTGTACTGGTGCCTTTTGGTAGTTTTGGAATTCTGAATAAAACAATTTTGGCGTTTCCATGGCAACAAGTTCGACTTTGACTGAATTAGTGGTAGTGCTCTTTTCCGGAGCAGAACTCTAAAACCGTTCAATATTTCTTCACCAAACTTGGTCCATGGATAGATCTGGTTGTGTACTGGTGCCTTTTGGTAGTTTTGGAATTCTGAATAAAATATTTTTGGCGTTTCCATGGCAACAAGTTCGACTGAAATTGGTGATAGTGCTGCTTTCTGGAGCAGAACTTTAAAAACCTTTCAATACTCTCCTTCCACTTTTCTATATACACACCTAAATATTTGACATAATCATAACTCGTAGACATAATCATGAAGAGTATTTTGCCATTGAGGGGGATATTGATGACTTTGTCTTCTTGTATTTATTTTTTCCTCCTGCCTTTAGATTTTCTGAGGATAAAAATCTGTAAAACAAGAAATAAAATTGGTCTGGCCATATTAATGAGTAAAGAAATTAGAAGTGACGATCAAACAGTCTGGTGGAGAACTTCAACACCATCAGTATGTGTTCAGTTGTATTGTTAGACTGTATGAAAAGAGAGTAACAGGGTTGCATGTTTTGTCTGTAGATGAAATCAGATTCAGAGTCTCCCAGCACTTCGGGGCAGCTCCAACAACCACCCCTTCTGCCATCCCAACCACCAGAGAAGAAGAGAGAGAGTAGTGTCTGCCGACTCAGTGAAGACTCCAGCTCCCCATCCCAAGCCCCTCAGACTGTTTCAGGTAATACCCCTCAGACTGTGACATGGGACAGATTAACATGTATATCCAGCATATCATGATATTAATAATCTCTATTACGATGGCTATCCTGCACTCAATCGCCAACATGGCTATGGTAGCCTGATTTTTATGCTGCAATGCTAAATACAGCCATCCAGTCAGTTACTATTAGCAAGAGACAGCCTGTAATATGATAAGGGGTGTTGGGTACCTTAATGGTTAAAGTGCCCGCTCATCACGGCAAAGACCCGGGCTCGATTTTCCCCTACAGGATGGAGCTTAGTTAAATAAACTTGAGGATTCAAAATTTGAAAAGGATAATTTAATCTCCATGAAAAGTAACATTATACTTACTGAGGTAAATAATTGATATTTGTACTCACTGGCACACTTAAATTGATACAGGCTTGCCTATACACTATTATTGGTACATTGTGGCACATTTGAAAATGTTGGGTACAATGTGTGAACCCCATTTCTGGTGTCTGCTGCCGTGATATTGCTGGAATATTGCTAAAAGTGGCGTAAAACTACCTCTTTCTGTCATATCTTATCAAGGACCCATTTGCTACTCAGTGAAATGAAGCACAAAGGGTAATAGAGTGATACCATTTGTCATTGGCTGTGTATTTTCCTGTCTACAGAGTAATACATTAGTATTTCTTTGCTAATTTGCTGACCGCCTCCGTGGTGTAGTGGTTAGAGTGTCTGTCCAGAGAGCAATAAGGTCACGGGTTCGATCCCAGGCCGCGTCATACCAAAAGACGTTAAAATATGATACTTGTTGGTCCCTGCCTGGTGCTCAGCATTAATGGATATAACAAGGACTGGTCGGCTCGGAGTGGGCATATTCATGCTTCACTGCGGCATGGTATCTCAGTGAGCTAGCACTATAAAACCAGCTTAAGTCTGGGCTAGTACAAGCAGCCGCACATACACATACATGCATGTCATCATATCAGCGAAATATTCATGAGTACGACTTTTAAACCCCATTTCACCTCACTAATTTGCTTGATCAACCCTGTCTACAGATGTCCCCTCAACTCCATCAGGCCCTTCCAATCCTGTGCCTCCCATAGCCACGCCCGGCTCCCATGCCCTGGATCTCAGCACCAAACCACCAACAGAAGGAGAGGGCTCTAGCAGCAAGCACCACAAGGCAAAGAAGAAGAAGAACAAGCATAAGCACAAGCACAAACATAAGCATAAGCACAAGCACGACAGACCAGACAAGAAGGAAGCAAAAGATAAGGAGAAAAGTGAGAAGCCAGAGAAAGAACGTCACATGGACCTTTATAGTTCAGGGGACCAGTAACTTCAACTCACCAGCAATTCAAGCTGAGGCACCTAGCTCACCAGACTTTGAAGTTATCTAGTGATGACTTGAGACCATTTGGCTTCTGTTGGATGTATGTGTTATTGTATAGAACATCTGCTTGCAAAGAATATTTGTTATCATGGTTGTTTCTACCCTTGTCTTACCATACGTAAATGAAGCACATGCGTTAGCTGTGTTGAGACACTGTGAATCAGGGTTCCCATACTGGGCCAGCTATGTATTCTGATAGCATGTAACACTTACGGATAAAATTGACACAACTACTGTGAAATCTGTCTTTTCCAAATTGGGCTTTTGCTTCAGTTTAGGAACAGCTACACAGAACAGATTCCACTGTATTTCCACTACAGTTGCAAATCAAAGCAATGAAGTTACCAAATACAGTGACAGCAGATGTGGCTACATTCCATTATTCACATTGCATATTTACATCCAAAACATCATATGAACTTGTAAAACAACACTTTGAAGATTTACAGTCATCATCCAATGTGGGGATCTGGGTTAGAATTTGGGTCCTTGTAAGAGATTGATTGGTTGTCAGTGACTTGGTTGATTGCATGCCATTGATCCCCAACAGCATGGGTCAATGCTCACAGCATCAATCACTGGACTGTCTGGTCCAGATTGGAATATTTACAGGCCACTGTCATACAGCTGGAATATCACTGAATCGGACATTAAACATCCAACCCTTGAAATCCAGCCATGCCAAGTTGACATGTTTCATTTGAATATAATTGACATTTGCTGGTTTTCAGTTTCCAGGTTCTTGCTGTTGATCACTGGATTCTCTGGTCCAGACTTGATTATTTACAGACCGCCGCCATATAACTGGAATATTGCTGAGTGCGGCGTAAAACTAAACTCACTTACTCACTCACTCAGTTTCAAGGAAAAAGAAATCACATGACAGCAGGTGAAGTATTTTTGAGGCAAAGGTAAAGGCTGTTGTTATTCAAGCAAACTAAATCTCAACAGTCATAGACATTTTTCATTTTTTTAATAAAATCATTTACTGTATATGCTGTGTAATGCATGTGAATAGAATATACCTTCAATCAACTTCAGTATACAAATTGTTTCAAGGAGAATACGAGTGAATTGCAATAATTTGCTGGGTGAAAGATAAAGTCATCCGAAACATATTCCCAAATTTTCAATTAAGAATTATGTATAATTATGTTTTAATCGTGAAAACAGTTTCTGTAAATCTCAGCTTCGGCCATTATGCATATTTCGCTGGAACCCACGTGACCTTTCCGCTCGTGACGTCAAATGTGCCTGGAGTCCGCCATATTGCCAAAGACCAAGTGCTACAGTAGTACAAATCGTGTTGTTTCTGTCGTGTTTTTTTAAATGATTCGATGGTGTATTGCATTGCCTGGGGATGCACGGCATCATCGAACATGGGAAAGAACCACCATTTCTTCTGTTTTCCAAGTGAAATGACAGATTTCGGCAGGAGAAATGCGCCGATCATTCCGAGTCAGACGCATATGAAAGAGACATGCACGCATGGGGTATGGAAATCCCCAAGCTAGGCTGAAGAAGGAAAAAGTACCCACGAGATTCATTTATACTCCATCATTACCTGTAACAACTTACTGTCAGTGGTATTTTTAACATAAATTAAATCAAGTCCGATTGCCAGTCGAATTGCCCCCCCGCTACAAAATGACCCAGCAAATTTGGTCAAATTGCCCCAGTGGGGTAGTCAAAATGTCCCCAATTTATTTAAAATGAATAAATATAGGCCATAAATACATAGTTTTGTCAACTTTGATATTATCTTCTTCATATATAAGTAGATACATAGTTATGAGTTTACTAATGAAACATTTATCAGAAATATTACTTCCTAATAACTTTTATATGAAGAACATAATATTATAATAAGTTGACAAAAACTATGCATTTACGGCATATATTCAATCATTATTAATAAATTTGAACAAATTAGAATGAATTACCAAATTTGCTGGGGCATTTTGTAGCTGGGGCAGTTCGACTGGTACACATGAGATATATATTATCAAATCTGTAAGAGATTTCACATGAGCTTGAAAACGTTTCGCTATAACGTTATTTTCGGTTGGAGCCCTAAATGATACAGTCTACTTGAAACATTGCCAAATACAACGGCAAATCATGAAGTACTTGTTGCTTTCATTGTGTTCCATTTTGTCCAATTACGTACGTCGGCATCAGACTCGCTATTTGTCAGTAGTGTGTGCCGTGAAAGTTGTTCTGTATTCTCATTGGCTGACAAGATGTCATTCTAAGGCTATGACCGAGTACCATAACTATTTCCATAACCAAACAATGGGGAAACATACGTTGTCCTGACTAGTATTTTATAATTTACCAGTTTTCGGGGAATAACTTTTCTGCGTCGCGAATATTATCTCTACTCGACCAGGCTGGGATCTTGTATGGAGACTTGATTCGTTATTAATGAGAACTTTTTCAACAAAATAATTCCAGTGTCATTTTTGAAGCAGATAATTTTTATTTTCCCTCGTCTGAAGCATAATTATTTTGTTTTAAAATCCCAGATACCCTACAGTCACCCATTTGACACAAAATGAAATGTAATCACATTTACAAAATAATAATCCTTAGTGACTGGTCATATATTTATAGGGGTGAGTTTGCTGGCTGGAACTGTATGACATTTTGCTGACAAATAGTATTCTTGTCAAATGATATGGTCTATTTTAAAATTTATTTTGAACTCAAGGGGTGCCTCCGTTTCGCTTGATTCTTCTTCATCTTCAGTGGAAGATTGTCTTGCAAGATGTAAAATCGGATCATATTGATACGGTCTAACATCCATTTCAGAAATGACATCAGGAACATCTTTTACTGCTTAAGAATCCACGGACACTGTTAAGTTGTGAGGTAAAATCAAAGAGGAAGCTTAAGCCATCAGCAACAGGCGCATATGACGTCATGTCACGTGTTACCCCCTCTGCTCATAAACTGTCGGGTGTTTCCGTAATAGGCGGAAATACGAGTACGTTTTTGTGTTTTTATTGCTATTTTACAAACTTTTTGTTCAATTTTAATCACGGAATGTGACTTTTAGAATATCCTTTACAATATATCAAAAGTTTTGTTTTCGTTCGTATTCTCCTTTAAGGCTTCTTACCTTCCTCCATGCCAAGACCACATCAATCAATAGTGTAATCACATTGTTTGTGAAGAAAAACAACTTACTAGACCTGCAAGACAGATGAGTAAGTGTATGTCTCTGGTTTATAGAACATCAGTACTGTGTCTGGAGTCCAAATTCGACAGATTTCACTTGATGATAACGGAATGAATGCGATTTCAGACCATAAATTTGATAAGTATTGACAGAGATCCAGAGTTCACAGAATCTAGGTAAAATGCTGATCATTTACCAATTGGAAGAAAAGTTATTGCTGCTGTGCTAGGAACAGGTTCGTAGTGCTCTATTGCCTGTAAAAGGCAAAGATTTTGCATATATTTACTGACTAAACATGTTTCATGGTGTGGTATCGTTCACACACAGCTTTGTAAACTGCTGACATTCATGACTGGTTTGTCAGGCACAGACATGTTACCATGACAAAGCTACAACAATGTATGCACCACCAAACAAAGGGCATTTA